ACTCTTTCTCGTCTCCTTTCCAGCCCAGGAACCGAGGATAAGAGACGGCGGCCGAGGCGCCTGAGACGTGTGGGAGGCTCCCTCACCAAACGCAATTAAAAAACAGAAACAAAACCCATAGTATTTGCACTTTGTACTTTAAATGTAAATCCACTTTGTAGAAAGGAGATATTTAAACGGACTGCTTTAATCTGTGAAAAGGGAGGGGCTGGCTTCCGCAGGTTAATCACATACAATGTATGTGTCCCTGTGACCGTGGACATCTCCGCTGTTCGGGGTGGGCTTGCACTTGCTCTCTGGGTCCCATGGGTGTCTGCGTCAAGGACGGCGGCTCGGACACAGCGGCTGCAGCCGTGGCTCCGCCCTGGCGCAGGATGGGGCCCCACAGGCACTCAGCTTCCTCCGGCCGCTGCTCTGAGACGCACCGTGTTGGCAGCCTCGGGTCGCTGTGGGAGCTCACACTTTGGTCTGTAAGGTTTGCCGTCAGCCGCCGGCCTGGCATGCAGGTGGGGCACGCCGGCTGCGTCTCTCTGGGACCTGGTCCCTTTGTTCTGCTTTCTCGAGGTCTCGCTCCCGTCACGTTGGCAACCACACAGCGGCGATGATGGGGTCTGGGGGACAGTCCCTGACACCTTCGTGCGCCTGCTCTGCCACCTCAAGGTTGGCCGCAGGCAGTGAAATCAACGCTGGGGGACTCCCTCCCCCCTGCGCTGGCTCCAGGCAGCGGGCAGGGTTCAAGGTCAGAGAGGAGTTGGCATCAGGCCACAACTGCCATCTGCCACCTCTTCCCTTCCACCTGGCCTTGCCCTCCCGGGGCCCTGGAAGGTGAACTGTGCCCTGAGCAGCTCCCGACAGTCTCCTTAAAGGAGGCGCTGGGACAGCTGGGCGCTGGATGGCGTGCCCTCAGCAGGCAGGGGGCTGGGCCTGGGTTCCGTCTCCTCCTCATTCTTTCCTGAAGGCCCTGAGGGCACAAGAACTTATCACTGGGCCAGTCCTCTGGGGGGCACTGGGGAGGGACGGGCCAGGACCGGATGCTCACAAGAGCCACAGAACCGGCCCCTGTACAGCCAGGGGCCACTGTCCGGCTGGACCCCGCACTGAGCGGCCACGGCTCTGCGGCCCCTGGAAGGTCGGCGGGGGCCGCGTGTGACCAGCCATGAGGCTGGCTCGGCTCCGACGTGTGGTCGGAAAAACACCTCCGTGGGCCTCACTCCCCAGCACATGGCGGACACCGACCCCAGTGAATAGGCGTGAAGACGGCGGCTTCTCCTTGTTTAATGTGCAGAGTGAAAGCTGAACCTGGAGCCGCTAAACCCTCACCGTTGCTAAGGACACAATTACGCTCCTAAACTTATTGGATAACCTTTTCTATTTCTGAACTTTGGACTTAATCGTTTTTCTTAGATTGAAATAAAAGACGCTATCAAGACCGTTCCTCTTCTTTTCCTTCCGGCTGAAGGCACAGGGTTGCACTTGCCTGACTTTGGGGTGCCCCCTGGGGGGAGCACGGAGGAGGCTGGGCCCGCTGCTTTGGAGTCTGGCTCCGCCCCACGGGGGTGTGACGAAGGGCGGTTGCTGAACCTTTTCCCCTTCAGTTCCCTGTGGACGGTGGGACGCACCTGGGCGAAGGCTCTCTGGGTCCGTGTGGGACGCGCCCTGACTGTGTGAAACGGCCCTGCGCTTGCTCGGTGAGTCCCAGCCCGCCATGACTCCCCTGCTGCCTGCTGCTGCGGGGACCACAGAGGAAGCAGAAGAGGCTCCGATTTTGACGGAAGCGGGTGCTGTTCCCTGCGTCACACGCTCCAGGCCTAGCCCTGCCCCTTCTCTTCTCCGGCCCGGGCCCTGTCCTGGCCAGACCCCCTCATTCCACTTGGGCCGTTGCTGCGGCTCTTGCCTTCTTCCCGTCCCAGTGGTGCTGAGACGTGACTGACACCCTGCACGGTCTGAGTGTACAGTGCACAGCGCAGCGCCTGCCTCATGTTGTGAAACGACTCCCATGAGTTTAGGTCCGTCCGTCCTCACAGGGACAGACAGCAGTTGCTTCCTGGTGCAGAGAACGTTCGGGTTTCCTTTCTGTGGTGCCACGTGCGGTGTCCGCGACGGCCGCCACGCTGTGCCTCCTGCTGATGCTCCTGGTGCCAGGCTCCGCAGGCCCTCACCCTGTGCTGCTCCCGGAAGAGGGGCCCTCGTGAAACCATCTCAGCGCCTCGTGTGCAATAAGGATGATCCCCGAAGCGGGTTAGGAGAAAGGCAGCTGTCAGGACACCTCAGGGAGGTGGGGCTGGGACTGGTCGGAGCGGGTGGAGGGGTTAACGTGTCCGTGTCCAGGA